AGAATGTATATATAAATAATTTATAAAATAGTTAATAAATGTTGTAGTGGGGACCACTTTTGAAAGTGTAGGTGACGTGGCACAGTTGAAAGTGTTGTAGGTGAATTGCAGGTGTGTGGAAGATAATTGCAAAAGCTGATGTGGCACAATTGAAAGTGTAAATGAATTGCAGGGATGTGGATGGTCTAACATAAGGGTTCATTTTTCTGTGACAGGGGTTGTTTACCAAACGCTTACTCGGGTAAATGAACATCAAGTTACATTATTTTACCGGATGAATATGGTAAGGACAAAAAATCTTACCCAGTAAGAGTGATACAAAGACCAAGAGTCTTACCCGGTAAGTGAGGACAACGACTCTTACCATGTTAAGCGCTTACCAGGTAATTGTTGCATACGATATGGTTTTGGTAGATTAAAATCTTACCCGGTAAGTAAATAATATTGTTAAATTTACCGGTAAGCAATTACCAGGTAAGTGTTTGATAAATGGGCCCTTAATTTGAGTTTTCTAAGTCTAATATTAAATTTTTAAGTTCGGCTCTCAATTTCATGTGTTTTATGTCCATGGAATACATCATTGTCACGTACCCTAAGTTCCTTACCAAATGGAAACATCTATGTTTCAATTGTTTGATTCATTCGTCAAAAGCCTTCAATACATCAACAATGTGCGACAAGATGGAGACTAGGAAAAAGCAATCAGGCGGGTGGTTCGGCGTGGAAACCATATTGGAATGGTCGATGGTATTCCTGTTGTATATATAGTCTTCATAGTGAGATTCATTGTGAGATTTTGTCCCATATAGGAAAATCAGTATAATCTTACTTGTATTTAGCTATATGTGTGTGTGAGAGAGAGTTAAGACATATCACTTGTCCCACATGGGTAGAGTGATAAATTCTTCCTTAGTTTTATAATAAGTTGTTTAAGAGATACAAGTTGTTTAAGAGATCAAGTTAGCTAAGGATGGTTCGGCTCAACAACTTGGAATGGGGGTATTATAGCCTATAACCCAAACAACCTTGCTAGTGGGGGTTACTAATCCTAAGGACAGTGATTCTCACGTCCTGATCATTTTGATTTACTGCACTTATTCTCCTTCTGTAATTCTATTTTCTAACAATCTTAGGATATTAATATCACATCATAGATAGCGTTTATAATACCATGAAGTTGTTTGGAAACGATCCAATAAAACTTGATCGTTTGGTGGCACGAATTTCCTACATTGGAAGTAGAAGATGAAGTTTTATCTCACCGCCTTCAAAGTTATCTAAGTATTGGATCTTGATTTGGAAGATTTACCACCTTTAACAAGCAAAGACACTGAAGAGAGAGCAGCGAAAAGAAAGAAACGTGGAGAGGATGAATTGTTGTGTAGAGGATACATCTTGAGCTCACTTTCAGATAGTCTCTATGATCTCTACACACCAATTCAGTCTGCCAAAGAGATTTGGAGTTCTTTGGAGTTCAAATATAATATGGAGAAACAAGGGGCAGATAAGCTTATCACGTTTAAGTTCTTTAAGTTTTCTATGCAAGATAAATATAATCTCTCTATTTTAGATCAAGTTCATGAATTTCTAATCTTGATTTCTAAGTTTAACGATTTGAAGATATCCATTCCCGGCAAATTGATCGTTAATGGAATCATTGCCAAGTTACCACCTTCTTGGAGTGATTACCGAAAGAAACTTTTGCACACAACTGAGGATTTCACTTTGTAACAAATTCAATAATTCATAAACATCTCTGGATTGAAGAGGAAACACACAATCGTCCGAAGGATCTCAATGTGTCTTCAAGTTCCAAAGTGCACTATGTAACTTAGAAAAATCAGAAGGGAAAGAAGAGAAAGACTTATGATCTGAGTACATCAAATTCAAACGGTAAGAAAAGGAAGAGGGATTTTTCAGAAATCATGTGTCACAAGTGTGGAAAGAAAAGACACATACGATGATTTTTTGCCGAAATCCTAAGAAGGAACAAACTCAACAAGGAAATGAAGCAAGTGGAAGTAGTGTTGCAAGTGCAAGTGCAAGCTTGGTTGAAAACAATACCAACGAAATCTTTGCACATTGGTATGATACAAAAGGTTCATATGGTTGCAGCAGCTGTGAGCAATGATTGGTGGTATGACTCCAATGCAACTACACATGTATGCAATAATTGTTCCTATTTTGAGGACTACATGGAGACTTCAAATGGTCATGAAGTCTTGATGGGAGATCATCATACTGCCAAGGCGCACGGAAAGGGAAGTGTGGAATCTTTTACTTCCGGAAAGAAATAATTCTCACTAATGTGCTTCATGTTCCCAAAATGAGGAAGAATTTGTCTACTTTCATCTTGTGTAAAGTTGGTCTTAAAGTTGTAACATAATCCAATAAGATAATTTTGTCAAACTGTAACACCCTAGTTTCTTTATTAGATAAATCTCAATATTTCAGCTTTAAATGCAAGTATTTATGAATAATTTAAGTACTCCGGTAGCTGTTACAATTAGTGAAACATCTTAATTATAAGACTAAACAAGCTAGTGATGAGTTGTTAAGGCTAGAAGTGTGTTGTTGGCAAGTCTAGTAAGCATGACTAAGCAAGCTAGTAATGAGTTGTTAAGGCTAGAAGTGTGTTCGAAAGTCTACTAAGCATGACTAAGCAAGCTAGTAATGAGTTGTTAAGGCTAGAAGTGTGTTGGAAAGTCTAGTAAGCATGACTAAGCAAGCTAGTGATGAGTTGTTAAGGCTAGGAGTGTGTTGGCAAGTCTAGTAAGCATGACTAAGCAAGCTAGTGATGAGTTGTTAAGGCTAGAAAAATTTGAGTTGGCAAGACTATTGATTACAAGACAAGTCTAGGAAGCATGACAAGGAGTACTAGAAGCATGAGTTGTATAGATTCTCTTATCCTTAGAGACGAGTTGTCAAGGTTCTCTTATCTTTATTGATGAGGTGTCAAACTCTCATAAGAGTACAATCTTGAGAGCAAAAAGAACAAGTAGTTAATGCAATGAACTTATCTATAAATAGGGATTTAAGGGTCACTATTTATACATACCAAAAATAAGAAATCTCACTATATTTATATAATTAATCTTGAAGAAAGGAATCAAAGGAAAAAGTAGGCAAATCAAGGTGAGTGCTTATGTGATTTATGAGATACATGCATGTTATATATAAAAGTATTTTATGCATTACAAGTTATGTTGGCATGCTTGTTTTACATGAAAATATTGATACACATACATATTCAAGATATGCATGATGACATGTTTTAATACAAGTATACACACAAGACATGAAAATCATTTACATGTTATCATATGTGTTACACAAGGCATGGAAATTTTTACATGTTATGTATAACCATAATATCGAACATACGGGATATTACAAGAAGGGACGTCTTGCAAACGAACATTATAGGGCATCCTTTTATGGATCCGGGGGTTAACAAACCTCAAGACAAGTATGGTATACATGCATGTGACAAGTGAGATCTCAGAAGAATGTTTTATGCATGATAAAGAATAGTATTTTATGAATGTTTATGCATGATAATGAAGAATATTGTATACATAATCAAGAGCTTCAATGAATTATCATTCACAAAATATCATGAAAATTTCTCATTCATGAAACCGTAAATACTCACTAAGCTTATAGCTTATATATCTCATGTATATATCTCAGGAAAGAAGTAAGGAGGATTTGCAAAAAGTAATATGGTTTTAGTCGAAAAGCAAGTTTTGTTGTAATATAAGCTATGATTACATTTCCGCTAAGTAATTTCTTATTTGATGTAATTTCAAGATATGTTATAAATAAAGCTAAATTTCAAGTTCAGGTTCCAAGCTTTAATAGTTTCATCATGTAAAGTAAAGACACCCAATATATAAGGACGTGGGCGTTACACTAACGCTGGGTCTTTTGTCGCGAAAGGATATGTATCCGATGGCATGTTCAAATTAAGTATTAATAAAGTTGGTAATTCTGCTTACTTTGATGTGTTGTTAGTTCCAACTTTAACATTGAATGTTCTAATTTCAATCTTTGGCACAATCGCTTGGCCTTATACTTACCACTCACATACACAACTAACAAAAGCGATGAGCCTCAACGTTCCATCTTTTCAACTAATTTAAAACGGAGAAAAGAAAATCAAAAAATTAGGGTTCCATGTGCAATCACATAAGTTCATTTCTTGTTGGGTAAAGGAAATTAGCATATCATCAATCCCTTCAGCCAAAGGTTTCGAGTATTGTGTTTTTAACTTGTACAACTATAACTTAGATCAAGGAAACAAAGGTAGAAAAACATCAAAGCATCACGGAATGTATCCCAGGACATCATAGGTGATTCGCATAAC